ATTCTTGGGAACAGTGTATATTTTGGCCAATTTGTTCATGAATATTTAAAAAAAATCCTATCTTAAATTATTAATTATTTTATTTCTATTATAAAAGAATGCAAAATATTATTTTAATTATTAATAACGATGAGAATAAATTGACAAACATTCTTTAATTATCATCACAATGAATCATTCCAAGACCATTTTCTATTAAATATTTATGTATGTGTATAAGAACAAATCAAATAAAGAAACATGTTGAAGTTTTAATTTATATTGATAATCTGTTTTGTTTTTGTTTTCAATGACTTGTGACCTATAAGCGTCATGTTGCTCGATGAGAAATAAAGAAATTTATCTAGAAAATAAAAAACCTTATCTTTTAAATTTTATTTGTTTGTTGTTTTTTTTTTTTTGACATCATATATAAAGTGTTACTAGTTTTCTTATCTATATTAATTTATACTTTCAGATGACTACAATACATCCATATACAGTACCTATTGTTGCTGGCGATTTGCGCCGTGCAGAATTTGTTAAACAATATGCTGATACATTCGATTATTTGGATGCGATATCCCAAGATATGTTTAATCGTATAGCTATACGTCTTAATATTTATCGTGCACAACTAAATAAATTTGATGAACGTATTCAACATGCTAATGCTCATATTGATCGTATTAAAGGTTCAAAACGTGCCATTCAAGTTCATTCAAGTGCACGTTATCCAGTTGAACAAAATCGTTCAACATATAAATCAATATTTGAATGTGATACAGATAATGAAGATAATAAAACACCTGCACTTCATTATAATTTATTTCGTTTAAATGAAACAACTGATAAATTTATTGATCTTAAAGATAAAGAATCAAAATCGAATGATGATACATTAATTGTATTAAAACAATATGAGGATAATTTTATTCAAAAAACAAAAAAACTTATTTTAAATGGTTTAGGTAGACCACCAACGAATATTAATTCTGTTGTTTCATTTCTTAAATATAATACACAAGAAAATCCGTATGTAATCAATAAAATTTACTCATTAGGTTTTTTGTTTTGTAAAACGTAAATTTATTTATTTGTTTTTTTTTTATTGTTTAGTTATACACAACCAACAAAAATTGATCCATTAAATGTTGGTGGACGAATACGTAAACAAAATGATGAATCTGCTCAACCACGTATGATATTATGTTCCAATATATGTTTCTAACTAGGAAACTACTCGAATTGATACTGGTCATTTGAGCCCATATTGGATTTACAAAGAGACCT